GTCATTTAATTTCCACTAATTTGTAAATACTTCTTTTCCTTCTCTTATTGGTTTCTAACTTCATCTAATTGTGGTCAGAGAAGATATTTTGTGTAATGTCTTTTTAAATCCATTAAGATTTGTTTTGTGGCTTAACTATGCTCTACCGTTGAGAAGAATGTACACTTGAGAAGAATATGTATTCCGTTCTTGGGCAGAATTTCTATATATGTCTGCTAGACCTATTTGGTTTATGGTGTCGTTCAAGTCCTCCATTTCTTTACTTATCTTCTCTCTGGTTGTTTCTATCCATTTTTGAAAGTCAGTTATTGAAGTGTCCACTAGTTCTTCCTTCAGTTCTAGGAGGTTTTGCTTCACGTATTTTGAGGGTCTGTTATTAGGGGTATAAATGTTTAAAACTGTCATATCTTCTTGCTGTACTGAACTCTTTATTAATATATAATGTCCTTTCGTCTTTTGTACTTTATGACTTAAAGTCTGTTTTGTCTGATAGTAGAATAGCCACCTCAGCTCTTTTTTAGTTAGTATTTGCATAGAATACCTTTTTCCATCCTTCATTTTCAATCAATTTTTGTCTTTGGATACAAAGTGAGTGTCTTGAAGACAGCATCGAGTTGGATCATGTTTTTAAATCTATTCTTCCAATCTATGTATTTTGATCGGAGAATATAATACATTTACATTTAAAGTGATTGTTGATAAGGAGGGACTTACTTCTGCCATTTTGCTATTTGTTTTCAGTATGTCTTAATGAATTTTTTTTGTTCCTCATATCCTCAATTACCAATTGTTTAGGCAATTTTTTTATATTTAAACATTCTAATTCCCTTCTCATTTCCTTTCATGTATATCATGTAGATAATTTCATTGTAATTACCATGGGGATTACATTTAACATCCTAATAACAATCTAATTCAAATTTGTACCAACTTAATTTCAATAGCCTAAAAAACTTTGCTCCCACACAACTTATCCTCCCTTTCCATTAACTGATGTCACAAATTACAACTTTATAGTGTGCCCACTAACATAGATTAATGACTTTTATGCATTTGTCTTTACAATTATGTAGAAAAAGAATAAAGTTATAAACCAAAATTAAAATACTAGCTTTTATAAATTGCTCATGGATTTACCTTTATCAGAGATCATTACTTATTCATACAGCTTTGAGTTACTAACATCCTTTCAATCTGAAGGTCTTCCTTAGCACTTTTTAAAAAACAGGCATAGTGGTAACAGACTCTCTCAGCTTTTGTTTATCTGGGAATACCTTAATTTCCACCTTATATTTGAAGGACAGTTTTTCCAGATATAGAATTCTCAGCTGGTTTTATTCTTTCAGAACTTTAAATATATAAATGCACTGCATTCTGACCTCCAAGGTTTCTGATGAGAAATCAGCCAATATTCTCAGTGAAGATAATTTGTATGTGATGAGTTACCTCTCTTTTGATACTTCTAGGATTTTCTTTAAACAGTTTGATTATAATGTCTCCACGTGGGTCTGCTTGAGTATATCCTACTTTGGAGTTTGCTGATCTTTGGGGATTTGTTGACTCATGTCTTTCATCAAAATTTGGGAAGTGTTAAGTCATGTATTTCTTCACATACTCTTTTTGCCTATTTCCTCTCTTTTCCTTCTGCAACTCCTACAACGCATATATTGATCCACTTGAGAGTGTCGTACAAGTCTATAAGGCTCTGTTTACTTTTCTTTATTCCTTTTTCTTTCCCTTTCTTAGACTCAATGACTTCAATTGTACATCTTCAAGTTCACCAATTCGTCTATTTACTCAAATCTTCCTTTGAATCCCTCTAGTGGGCTTTTCATTTCAATTATACTTTTCAACCCCAGAATTTTTTTGTGGTCCTTTTTACAATTACTGTCTCTTTATCAGCATTCTCATTTTATTCTTACATAGATTTTTGTCTTTATCTATGTCTTTCTTTACCTCTTTGAGCTACTTTAAGACAGTTGTTTTAAAGTCTTTGTTTACTAAGGCCAATGTCTGGGCTTCCTCAA